ATTATACGAAGTTATACGAATGATATGCTAGGTTCACGAACATTAAATTAATTGTTTAAAAATTTTCTAATTATTTTAGTCGTCAGAACTCTTTGAAAAAGCAATGTACTTGCCCAGAACTGCACGAAAACTCTATAATTATTAACAGAACTATCAATATACGGCCAGCATATCACACATATACTCAAAAGTGCGTGTTTCTCGGGTAAAATAATTGTTTAAAAAATTTCTAATTATTTTAGTCGTCAGAACTCTTTGGAAAAGCAATGTACTCGCCCAGAACTAGAAGAGAACTGTCTAATTTTTAGCAGAACTATCAATATGCGGCCAGCATATCACACATATGCTCAAAATTGCGCGTTTTTCGGGTAAATTAATTGTTTAAAAAATTTTCTAATTATTTTAGTCGTCAGAACTCTTTGGAAAAGCAATGTACTTGCCCAGAACTACACGAAAACTCTTTAATTATTAACAGAACTATCAATATACGGCCAGCATATCACACATATGCTCAAAAATGCGTGTTTTTCGAGTAAAATAATTGTTTAAAAAATTTTCTAATTATTTTAGTCGTCAGAACTCTTTGGAAAAGCAATGTACTCGCCCAGAACTAGAAGAGAAATGTCTAATTTTTAGCAGAACTATCAATATGCGGCCAGCATATCACATATATGTACAAAAATGCGTGTTTTTCGGGTAAAATAATTGTTAAAAAATTTTCTAATTATTTTAGTCGTCAGAACTCTTTGGAAAAGCAATGTACTAGCTCAGAACTTCACGAAAACTCTTTAATTATCAACAGAACTATCAATATACGGCCAGCATATCACATATATGTTCAGTGTCCTCTATTTTTTATCTGCTAACTTTCCGTAGCAGATCATTTTTTTCGATCAGTGTTTTTTTTTATAAAATCACCAGAACTATCATTAAAAACTATCAGGAACTATAGAACTCGACTGCATGCGACAAGAACTCTCTTTTATTTTTGATTTGCTAGAAAATGATCTGCTACGGGAAGTTAGCAGATCATTTTTTCGATTGGTGTTTTTTTGGATAAAATCACCAGAACTATTACTAAAAACTATAAGGAACTATAGAACTCGACTGCATGCGACAAGAACTCTCTTTTATTTTTGATCTGCTGGAAAATGATATGCTAGGTTCACGAACATAACTCCGAAACTGCTCCTAGGCGGCACGTGGTAGAGAGAAACGGAGAAAATAATAACTAACGCGGCTTTAACCGTACGAAACTTTTCTCAGCTTCTCTGTTTATTCACTAATCCCACTTCTGATATTTAACTGTAAGCTTTCTATGCTTTGTCGCTTACGTGGTCAGGAGGGATCACAGGGCGAATTGTCTAAGAGCAATAATTACTAAAATAGAGTCTTTAATTTCTCTTTAGTACAAAAAGGCACGCGGCGTTTATCGAGCAATATCGGATACCGCACAGCGGACAAACAATCGATTACTGGCAACCGAAGGGCGCGATCGAAACTTTTGCGTGTCAGTGATTTTCAATCTCTCGAAAATATTTAAAAATTATTACATCACAGCTTTTCACGTAAATTCCTTTCGACAATTCTTGTTCCTTCTTGTTCCTTACAGTTAAAATTATTTTCACGTATCTCGAATTTATTATAAAATTAATCGTGTTATAAATAACATATAATAAAGAATTAGGTTAAAGAAAGCAAAACTTTTATCTTTGAAGAAATAAAGTTGTAAAAAAAATGTTATGAATATCTTGCGATTATCACGCCAGCGAGTTACGGCGTAAATAAGTAATAAACCGGTTTGACGAGTTTCCAGTTTCTAACCGCGAGGATCCGGCATAAGATAACAAAGGGGGTAATTGACTCGGGATTGTGCGTCACTAATGAGCCTAAAGTCGATTGCTCCTTTTGTTAAGCGCGATCGCTGCATCGCTCCGAGCAAGCGGCGTGCGTCGCGTCGGGTTAACGACATGGTAAAGGCGATTAACGTAGAATCCATTAGACGCGCGCCTTGCTTTGCGAAGGATTTAAGGAAAATTGCTTTCGATCGCTAAACTCGTTGTCTCGACAAACTTCGAACTTCTAATCGAGTTTTTATACAACTTTCGCCTCACGTCACAGACGTGTTTATGAAAATAAATGGTTGTTTGGAAGCGTTACATTAAATCAAACAGTCTTCTATCAAAATCGTTCGCTGAAAATCCCTCCAAAAGATGTTTCGGCGTTGCAAGCTCCTTTTTACACTTGCAATATCTTTTTCGAGAAGCTCTCTTTAAATAATATTTTTATTTACGCTATATATAAGAATTGATATATTCATAAAAGATATAGCACTTGAAGTTTTATGAATAATGAATAACCTCGGTTTTTCAGGAAAACCATTCGAAGAATAGGATGCTTCAATGGCGGTAAACTTTCGCAGCTCGCTTTCGTCCCTTCCCCGAGAAGATGTTTATTTATCCACGCCCAAATTGACCATCAACAGCTCGGCGCAACGCCACAAATCAATCTTTTCATATGCTTTTACTCCTCTCCCAAACCTCTCGCGGAAACAAAACGGGCCGCATCCTCCTTCGTCCCGCATCGGCGCGATTGAATAGAATTTACGAGAGTGCGATCACCTCAACGCTGTAAATGTCCCAATTAGTGACAATGTCCCAATTAGTGACAATGTCCCAATTTGTGTATACGAAATTGACGGCACGCCGGACGACTGCAGATTATGCGAAGATTATGTTGTAGTGCAATTAAGTAAGCAGGGGGGGGGAGGAATGCGCGCGACACGCGGGAAGGGGGTGGGGAAAATTAGGCAATCTTTGCTCGAGGGGAGTGGCTCGCCCCGAATAACGCCGACGCGTCCTCAAAGACGGGATGAGCAATAAGGTACTGACGGATAGGAGACACGTCTGATAATCGGATTATCATAATCCTCTCCCGGAAACTGTCGCATAATTTTCCGCCCGGTCCCGCGCGCCCCCTCTTCGTCCCTTCGCAAGAAACTCGCTCTGTTTATCATTCTGAGGACGTCTTTAATATATAACAGGCAATTTTCCCACGCTCGCTATGCTGTAAACTTTTTCGAGAAATTGGATGTTTCGGAACCGGGAGGGAAAGAAACAAGGTCGCGGATATTTTCACCGCCGAGTTGTTATTCCGCGTATTTTCGATTCCGGGCGCGAGAAGTTGACAAAACGCGCCTTTGTCTCGAGCCTTAGCGCCCGCGAGGAGCCTCGCTAGCGAATCACGTTTCGGCACGCGCGTGCCACGCGTCAATCGAATGATCTATCGACTGCCGTTGCCGTCGATCCTGCGTATTTTGAAAATGAGTCTGTCCAAAGAGCTCGGTGGAGAAAGACTATCTCCAAGGGCTCCTTCAATTATTTCGAGAGCAGTGCGTAGAGAGCGAATCGCGTTTATCTTTAATCCGAGCATTTTGAATAAAGTCACATATATAAAACCAACGTCTAATTTATCCCGATCACATCCTT